ATTACTTGCTTACTTCGCCGGCACTACAGTCCAAGGTGCACTTTGGCCTTCCGTGCAATTCGATTCCATACGCCTCGATTCAATGCCATCTGTTCCCATCCAGTGATTCCAATCCTTAAAAGATCCTCCTCTAGATCATCCATTCATCGTCTCCAAGACATCCTCTTTTTCTTATACCGGACACGTTCTCTCCCATTATTTATGAATTGGCTCTCCCATTAGACTCTCTTCATTATTGTCAGGATATCATCTTCCATTCTCTGCACATAACCAAGCCAGGTAATTATTTGTGATTTTATGAAGCATAACAGATTTTCATGCCTAATCAAGTTTTTCAGCTCCTGGTTATTTCTAATGCGACACATACCCTGGACTGGAACTGGACCAAAAATAAGCCTTAGTATCTTCCGTTCAAACACACTTGGCATGTGTCGGTCTGTAACTTTCAGTGTCCAGGTTTCTGCGCCATAGCAAACAACAGTCCTGGCAAGCTATTTGTAAAGCTTCATCTTGGTAGCTCAAGGGAAAAGAGGTGATTTGAAGAGATTTACAAGACCGTAACACGCTCTGTTTCCAACAATGATCCGTTTCCTGATATCTTCACCTTGTTTCCGCAATTAATATTTACTCCAACGTAAGTAAAGTGTTCAACTGCTTCAAAAGAATAATTAAATTGGATTCCGATTAATTAAACTGGAAATCGGCCAGCGTTCTTGCTCCAGATGCAGACACCACCATGTACTTTGTCTTCGGTTCGTATATCTCTAGGCCAATATTATTACATTTGGGCGTCAGTTCAATGAGGCATCCCTTATCGCTCGTTCGCTTCTTCCAAGAACCAAAAGGTTATCAGCTTATAAGGAACATATACAAGCCATGCAATGATGACACCCGGTTACCGGAAGGCCAGAAATGGTGATAAATAAATGTTAAAATTAGATTATGAAATCGGAGAAAAAATTAAACAAAATCATGAATATATTACAAATAAGACAAAAAAAAAAGTAGCTAGTAAAATTAACAAAAAAACAAAACAAAATAAACAGATTGAAATTTATCATATAATAATTTAGACATAAAAGGGCCAATGGAAAACAAATAATAATATTGTGAAGACTGGTTGTGGTAACCATTACAAATAAAGGCTGAAGTACAATCGGTAGATCTAGTATAATTTTAAAATGACAAAGAATAAGCTTGTTTATTAACAAGATTAGTGATTGAAATATATTAGAATTCTTGTTAATTTCATGATGTATTGATGATGTAGGTGTTTAAAACCAGAGATTGGCAAATGCTTCTGCGAGTTCCAAGTATTTTACTGGAATTGAATCACTATTTGGAATTCCGCAGGGAAGAAGTCGTCTTGACTATATTGAGGATAGGTCATACAAATTTGACTCATTTATATTTATACTTTATCAACAAACAACCACCTCCAACATGCCAATATTTCAATAGCCCTCTCGCTGTCAGCCATATTTTTCAGGAATGCCCCTATTACATCGCAAGATTAAATAGATTATCTCTTAGACCGGATATTTCAGCTGTACTAGATAATGACGAATCAAATATAAAAACCGTTATAAATTTCCTTGAAACTCATCGATTATACAACAGAATATAGAAATGTATATTAATAAATATATATATATATATATTTTTTTTTTTTTTTTTTTTTGAGGAGTTTCAGAGCTCCAGAGAACAAAAGTAAAGTATAAACAGGCGTTGATGACCAAAGGGATTTACGCCTCAAAGCCCAAATAAACAAACAAACTATTTGGAATTCAACCACTACTTTAGTTAATCGAGTGACATTAGGTGAAGTAGTAATTAAATTGGTACTCAAAAAAGATCAGCATTTGAGTAAAATACGTCGTTCTCAGTACTCAGAGTAGCATTTGCCCACCTCTGTTTAAAACTATTTTGTTATATCGATTGACCAGGTAACTATATTTTAGTTATGACATCGCTTCAATATTGATTAGCTAAAGTATAATTAGAAAATAGTTACTCATCTTTGTATTCATTTTTTTAAAAATGTAGTTCTAAATTATTTTTTATTTTTTCTGGGAAGTTGTACGATATTCCTTGTTATTTGGCAATGATGACTTCCAATTAAACAACAATTGAATTTATTTCCAAATAACATGTTTGCATGTTAACGTTTCGGGATATTTACTCCCATCTTCAGAACTACAATCCCAATGTTTTTTTATTGATACATGGCTAAAAAATTGAGTTAAAATATAGTGCATGTTACAATACATATCAGAATAGGGTTGGTACATTAAATTTGTAATTATCTTAAATCTAATGTGCTCCATTGTCAGGTTCTAAATGTTATAATAAACTAAGGTATATAATATCCAGAGCAACATCATGCTTTTATACCAATTATTGGGTGTTTGCTATGGTAGTTCTAAAGATTATGGTCCCAAAACCGTTAATCGATTAATCGTTTTTATTGAATAAATTAAATTATAACAACATTTTTATTGCATTGTTTACGTTTACGTTTACTTAATGTTTAAGTTTTAGGTACTATGTAATGAACACAGAATATAATCGTTTGATTATTCCTTAGTTGGATTAACTATAAACTTCACTGTATAATTATTGTAAGGGATAATTATTACAAACATACAAGGGCTAAACTGAAAGGGCTAACAGGCAATTCGTCAGATCTGGTGCAGGTGACCGAGGCAGGACATAACTTGATAAATGGGAGCAGGTTGCAGACATGGCAATCGCAAAGGGCTCACCGTTCCGCCATATTGATGGTAGCTAATTATTTATAGTAAATTGTTTATTCAACCAAGAATCGATTATTAATTTATCAACAATACAGCACATTAAATCGAATAAAACATTATTCAAAAGCTTTACGTTCAATTTTAGTATACTGAACTCTGTATTATTACAGCTATCTGGGATTTAGAATAAGTTTTTATATAAAACGTTTAACTAATTTACAAGTTTTAAATTAATAGTTTATCGAATTTCCGGAAAATAATGCAGGATTTTGATTTAAAAAGAAAGACTTACAACTGTTTTATTATTTATTTATTAGTTATTTAATTAAAATAGTCTCCATAACTATCAATACATTACTACCAACGTGTTGACAACTTTCCATTCCCTCGGAATAGAATTTCCCACCTTTAGAATTTAAAACTCCAAAAAATCACTTTCTTATTCCCTTTCTTAATTAAATCTTATGTCACGTAAGTAGATGTCCAGGTGTCTAAAAAAATGATAATCTATAGGCGAGATGTCTGGAGAGTCGGTCGGAAGTGACAGAGTTTCATATCCAACCTTCAACAGTTTGAGTGACCTCACACGTGAGACATGTAACCGGGCTTCGTCATCCAACAAAATAGGGCCCTTCCGATTGACCAAAGATGGCTTAATTATTGCCAATTTCTGTTGCATTAATTTGGTTACAATACGATTCGGCATAGATGGTTGATGGTATCCACCTCCCAGTATCTACCACCTTTTTTGATGAGTTGGGGGTTTGGAAAATTATCTGCTGATTATCCTTGTCGAGCCACTGTCTAGAACGTCTACTGTTATCGTAAAGTACCCACTTTTCATCACAAGTTACAACTCTGGATAAAAAAAGAATCATTTTTCTTTTGCTAAGAGGTGAAGCACAAACCCAACTTTCAAGCATTTTTACCTTTCCAATCGCCTAAAGGAGGTCTTCGACGATTTGCTAAGATTGAATTTCCCTGCAGGTTCTTGAACAGTTGTTCTGGAGTTTTCTTCCACTCAGAAAACCTGGCCAACAGAAAACATCGTCATCAAGAGAGGTAGTTCTTCCAAGACCTTCTTTATCTTCAAGGCTGAAATTTTTCGAACCACCGTAGAACAGTTCACTCATTAATGCTGCTGTCGCCCGAGACTTGATTGATGTTTCTGGCCGCCTGGGCCCCATTCCGGCCGAGTTTAAACTCGTTAAACAAAATCACACATCGTTGGCATCTTAGTAAAGACTCAATTATTTCCAACCAGCGAAATGCTACAGAGGTAAACAAATATTATCGTTTAGAAGAGGATTAAAAGTGTTGACATTTATGGAAAATAATAACCCGAACAAAAAAAAAAGTAAACAGTTTTTTATATATAGACATTTTTAAAGAAAACTCAAAATCCAGCATTATTTTCAGGACAACACAATATTTAATATGAAAATACTTAGCGAACACAATGAGTTATAATGATTTTTTGTTTTTTTTTACTGTGTATTGTTTACTAAATGTAAATGAAAATCAATGAAGTTATATAGAAACGTGATATTGCTATTAATACATACAAAATCCTTGAAATGTTAATAAAAACCAAGAAGGCTTTGAAAAAATAAAACATCTGTTGTATTCAACAATAATTTCCTTATAAGATTTTGTTAGAAACAGGCAAGAAAATATTTAAATATATATCTCTTATCAGCTTTAAAAATGGCATTACGTATTAGTATGAATAACAGAAATCAACCACTGAAAATAGATACCTACATTGCGAAACGAACTTTCTCGTTGAAAACAGATCTTGAGATCGAGCTCAGAAGAATCGAAGTACTTATTAATCAAATCTTGGATAAATTTGCTTTTGCAATGACAATACCTAAACTAGCGGACAATGATTTTGAATTAATAAAAATGCACCTTGAAAAAAGCGAACTAGAAAAAATAGGTCAAGTATTTAAAACGTATTTGGATAAGGAAAACTTACTTTTAAGTAAAAGCAAATCCCGTTTAAGTTTAGAAACTAGGCGCCACGGACTGCAATCAATCCAAAACTATTTCAATAATTATTGTGTAAGATGCGAAAATAATCCACAATATGATGAATATGACTTCAGCGGCGTGCTATCGTTGTTATACCATAACAAAGAAATAAGAATAATATCAGAAATGAATAAAAAATCAGTTTCTGAAGCTGCATTTAATTTCATGCAGGATATGAAATTTTGTTTATACTCTATCCTGGACAAAATGAAACTCACTCCACAACAGGCCGCAGCCAGAGAGGCATATTTGAGAAAATTGAGCATTCATCATGATGAAATTATCGATGAAGTTAATCTAGTGAACTATAACATCATAGAAGAAATAGAAAAGATAAATAATCAATTAAACACTAAACTGGCCAGGCTGCAGGAAATAAAGAACGTTAGTGACAGAATCATAAATGAATTTCTAGATTTCCTCAGAAAATCAGAGTCAAAGACGAATAAAGTAATGAGAACTAATTGGGAGATTAGCGTATGCCGGCAACAAAAACTACACGAAGCTTTTAATAAGAAGATGGCCGCCATGGAACACTTGAGAACCGAACATGTAAAAGAGGAGAAAGCGTTGAGAAGGAAAAAAGATAATATGGAAAAAGAATTTATTTTATTATTGAAACAGTATGACAAGAATATGTTAGATAAACAAAGTGAATTAGATAATATAGTCGAATCTGCTAATCCGCTAAATTACTTCTATAAACAATTAACAAGGCTTTCCGAAAAACAAGATGAAAGTTATGAATTGTTAATGAAGGATAAGGAAGAATACAAAAGAATGAGATTAGAAGAATTAAAGCGCAGATTTGCGTCGAGAAAAATTCTAAAACGTTTTAGGTCTATGTACGAATATCTTCGCAATAAGAAACGTCTATGGAGAACCAGAAGGACACGAAGGACACAATATAAAATACAATTTAACAGCAACAGATACATTTCCTTCATTTGCAGTGGAAAAAAATACAAAAGTAAAGCACCAGTAAGTAACCATAAAGGACAATTTCTCAGCCTAAAATCGATTCATAAGATGCCAAGCTTAAGAAAGATGTAGCGATTAACAAGTTCAATATGTTTTTAATTTTAAAAAGTATGTAAATACAAAAAATACAAAAAACAATAATCAGCGATTATATATATATTAGTTTACCTCTGTGAGAACTCTCACATCAGATTCCCTCTAATGCTTAATTGATTTATTTTATCAAGATAGTCTATTCAACACACAATATGTAAGCTTCATAATTTACCACAAATGATAAAGTAACAATTTATTTAATAAGTGATTAGCTTGTTTCATTGGAAAATGTCGATCCAGTTTAATAGTTAGGAGAAAAGACATAGTTATCCCTGGATATGGTGTACTAATAACACTACAGTTAAGACTAATGTTGCCCAAAATTGACCAAACACCAAGGCCGCTTAACTGTTGCATGACCAAGACCAGGACTGGTAAAAAAAAAAAAGTTACTAATACTTGACAATTTTAGTCACTGTTGCAAGACTCTTGAGCAAGACCAAGACCATGACCAACACTGAGTTTGCAATACCAAGACTCGTCGCATTTGTGTAACACTAACACTAAGACCCATTTGTTTGGTGCAGAAGTGTTTTAATAGAATGTAGTTCTCTCGCTTACTAAAAGAAAGTAAGTCCATTATTTCTGAGAGTATTGAAGCCATACCTAAATTTTTTAAAAATAAATTATTATAAATAAAAAAAGTTTCTTTCTATATTATCCAAAGTGCAGAATGGATATATTCCTCTCAATTTACGTTTTAATAGTTTTTTTGGTTCGTCCTTGACATAAATAGAAATTTATTCATTTCTAAAACCTGAAAATGTAATAGTGGACTAATGGTTGAACGTAGTATATAATTTTGTTTTTTCATTTATTCAAGACATTTACTACTTTCTTAAAGAAATACATCCAGTAAATTTGACTAAATGTATATAATGACGTGAAAACACTTTTTGTTACCCACTGCTAGCACTCTAATAATATGCCTAGATTAAGAGACCACGGGGCCATCTTCTTTTAAGACGCATCGGAGGATTATCAGTAATTGAAGAGGAAGCAAAATTAGAAACGAAAGGGTTTTGATGGTTCTGAAGTAGTAAATAATAGAAGAGAATTTTAATTTGTAAATACAAAATAAGAAAAAATTTGTATTTTGCCTTGAACACCCAACAACCAACTTCTCTTCTAAAAATGTAATAAGTAAAGACAGTAAAAAAATGTGCTAAATCGTGTCGTTAAAACCCAAAATATTTTAAATTATATAATTAACCTAAAAATCTGTAAAAATTATCTATTTTGTTTAATTTATTATATTAATTGGAGACGGCATTTCAATGTTAATTGCACGTTTTATTCGCTTTGATTTCGATAACATGATATGGTAAATTAAACAAAATAAATGATTTTTCCACATTTTTAGGAGTTGATTGCACGATTTTAAATATTTTGGGTTTTTACTACACGATTTTGCACATTTAACTGCATGAAAATCCGGTCTTGTGACAAGTAATCCATACCAACCATAGACCTCGCTTAACACTCTTATAGCATTTTAGCACCTAATTGTTCATTAGGTACATTTTTGGCCTTTAAAACGAGGGGCCCAGAAAAGTTATTTTGGAACTATACCGGGTCTCGACGTACACGACAAATTCTTTAAGAAAACAATTTATCTCGTTTCGATCTGTAACACAATTTTTTCAATGGCATTTATAGTAGTATAAGTAAGGTTTTCTATGAAATTCTCATTTCCTTAATACCTCATTCATCAATATGCATTACTTTTGAGGAGAAAAAGGGATCCATCTATCTAGTGGTATAAAATATTTAAAAAAGTTATCAATAAATAAACTAGAAGTAGGAGAATTTAATGGAACACATGTTAACCAACTGTTTTTTGTTTCTTTTTGTTTTTGTTTATATAAAAAATATAATAGTTCGTGGAACAGGCACCATTTATCAAATTATTAACATCCGCATAAAACTTGGTAAATAGTTTCATCTCATCGTAACATAGAAATGTACTAGGAATTGGGAAGTTTTCGATTGGAGATCGGCAAATTTTGTCAACTTAATTAGGTACTAAAAACTCATGAATACATATTTGCTTTCCACTTAAATCTTAAGATAACATGATCCCAAAATAAAAAAAATGGGTCACCCTACTCCCAAAATGCCAAAATAACAAGGTCATGTTGGCCAAACTGCCCAATATTTTTGTGATCATATTATCTTACGATTCAAGTGGAAAAAGATGTTGGTGAGTTTTTAGTACCTAATTAAATCGACAAAGTTTGCAGATTTCCGTACTGAAAAAGCCCTGCATCCGAGAATTTTTTTAAATAAAATATTTGTAGATTAGCATGAGATGAAGCTATTTAGGAAGTTTTAGCTAGTCTATACCTCGGATTATAAAAAGTAAGTTGATTTATTTTTAGGAAAATTATGATGATAGAGGCAATGATATTATTATGGCTAACGTAATTTACTCTGAAGCATTCCATTCACAACAGCCATATTATATATGTTTATTACAGCATTCATTTCACTCCCGTTGTCGCCTTCCATAGAATTTTAACTGAATTATTCATATCCTTGTTAAAAGATTTTTAAAAAAAAATACATTAAATTAAAAAAATATATATATATGAGTGAGTTATTTTTAATTTAAACCATAATTATCATTGACAATTTTTTATAGAAACACAAAAAAATATATTTTTTATTTCAATATTGATAACAAAACCAATATTTGAAAAATAAATAAATAAAAAAGTGGTTCATTCAAAGCACATGTTTCCTAAAATTTCTGATTATATCAATAGTAATTAACAAAAACGTTGAAACTTAACAAGAGCAAAATTTGGAAAAAAATTTAAACATTTTACGGTTTGGGTTAGGCATAAAATATGGTTTATGATTCAGAAAAAAAATTAGAAAAATTATACTATCAACAGATTAACTAGTTATTTATTAATAATAGAACAATTTAAAGAAATTTATTTTTATTAAGAAGTTTTATTCCCATGAAATGAAAAAAAAAATTTTTGATGAATTATTACTTTCACTAACTATATATGAAATATTTAGTAAAGGAAAGTACTGTGATCGTGAAAATTTTCGAAATTTTTTGGTCTGTGTGTGTTTATGTTAACAGTTCTAGCACAAAAACGAAAAGCCATACGAAAGTGAAATTGCATGTGTAAGATTTGTACATGCCTGGGATGTTACAGCAACTTTTTCATCAAAATAGGCTAACCGGAAGTGGCACTTTATACTATCGATTTAACACGTTTTCACAATTTTCTCTAAAACGGCTATGACGATTTTGATTAAATTCATTATATCAGTGTAAAATTAAGCAATTGTTAATGTAATGTAGGTTTTATTCTCATAATAGAGCTTAAATGGTCAGTTTTCACTACTTCTTCTAGTAAAGTATCTTTAATATTATTTTTATTTGATATAATTAAACATTTTAGAATGAACTCTGATATAAAAAATAGTTAAATATAAAATATGGAAGAATTTGATAATTAACTAAAGGAGAAACAAGAGATCGTAACTGAGAATAGTTGTAATAAAGGGACTAAAGAACAACGAGTGGGCCCGAGCTCACCCGAACTTACCAGAATGATTCCCGAATTAAGTTTTCATATTAGAGTGCTACCATTGGGTAGTTACTCAGCAAGTGTTTTCATGTAATTATATCCATATGTTTAAATTTACTAGATGTATTTATTTAATACAGTTGTAAATATCATTAAGAAATAAAAACAAAAAAAAGTTTTCATACGTAACATGAGCTTAATATATCACGGACTCCGACAATATTATTTATATATACATATGCAGTTCTCATAAATGCTATAGTTGGTGCTATTTAATACCTAATTGTACAGATTACAATGATATAAAAATTTAAATTTGTATATATACCAGTACTTAAACAAATAAAAATACCAGAATGAAATACAAATAAATATAGGGACCTTCCCTGTCAGTGTCACTCTTGTTAGACTAAAAATATTTCGTGGCACTTAATTATTTATTATAATTAAATTAATAATTGAAATATACATTTGAAAAAGGAAATGGCTAGTGTCAAATAAAATGATTATAATACATTATATATGAAAAATATATAGTAATTAATTGTTTTAAATAATATTTCGTACCGTCTATAATTTTTACTTTCACTTTCCTTTGTCTGAAAATAAATATTCTCTAAAATAGGAGTGGCAAGTGAAAGTTGTGGGATGCGGGCACCGCACCAAGTGCAATTGCTTTCTTGAAAAAAAAAAAAAGAAAGACCGGCTTTGGAAATATACTTATTTCATACAATTTTATTCAATAATATTTTGATTTACCTTGAAAAAAAACATTGCACCATTGAATTCATTAGGCGTTTTTACATTGGTTCTTGAATCAATTTAGAATAAAATTTCGAATTAATAAAAACAATATACAGGTACCGCTTTCTATACTCTCATTAATAAACATCAATATTCTTCAACATCAGAGAAGTTGGCTTGAGCGAATATGATAACGGATTAGTATAAGTTTGAGGATAGATGTGTCTTCGAATTGCTCAAATATTAAACTAGAGGGATATTTTCCAGTGTGATGAGATGATCACTTAGTAAGTAAAGCAGAATAACTCAATGATATCTTTGACACTTCGGAAAATACAGAAATAAACTTTCTAATACATAAAAAGAATAAAGGTACAACAGCTTCAACACTTTCGCTAATATACTTGCATACTCTTGTACCTGATTAGTCTTGACCCCATTATTTTTTAAATATTAAGCCGGAGGGATATTTTCCAGTAGGAAGAAATAACTTTTTAAGTAAATTGTTCCTTCATAATAGTCGTGGTAATGTATGATGCTTCACCACCTGTGTGTGTTGAATAGACTATCTTTATAAAATTGTAATTTAAATACGAATAAATTTGTTTGGATTGTGTCTTTTAAACGTAGAATACATCAAAAAGAAAAGTATTTCAATTTAAGTGTTGACATTGGCGTGTACTTGTAAACTTTAACATTAACTTAGTAAATCATAATAATAACTCCTAGAAACTTCTCTTTTATCTCGTACCATATTATCAGCTCGGAATGGAAGAATACTTTTTTTGCCACAACGTATCTCGATAGGAAAAGGAAAGTCAAACGCCCTAGTTATCCTCCTGCAGATATGAAGAGACCTACTGTTGAAAGAGCTCTGGAAGCCGGTGGCAGAAGTGCCACGTAACTTTTAATGACAAAACTTCCTTCAGTGCAGCGAAAGCTCTCTATTTCACGAGCAGTTCCGAACTGTGCCGAGAGGGAGCGCTAAGGGCAACTATTGAATCTGGCTAAGCCGAAAAAGTTTTGCTAAATAATGGCCGGTATGCGGCACCGCTATGCGGACCATTCCAAAAGGTGCCTCAGGGTATGCCGCATTTGCATATTTATCGTATAACCTCAGAGCTGGCTGCTTCTCTATATCATCCTTAAAGTAAAATATAATGTGGGGAAGTAATTAAATTCCTCCGCGTTATCTCCTCCTTACAATGCGGGAACCGCTGGAACTCCAAATCGGAATGGCCCGAAAATTCAGTAGATAAGAGAACACTATTCCTTACTGTATGGGATTTTTCTTTCCCAATTCATTAGTTCGTTCGATTTTGATGGGCAAAATAAAACATGTTTTTTTTCTTTTCATACAAAGAATAAATTTTATTCTATCATGTATTAGCCATTTTTATTTATGACATCTTGAGAGTCTAGACACGGCCGGCAACGAATATACATCGGGTCTTAGTTGTTCTCATTTTTCATCAGTTCTTTTTTGTCTAATTTAGTTCAAAGTTTACACGGTTTTAGTTCTGTCTGTCAGTAACTCATTTCTCAAACATCGTTAAAATTCACCGAGCAATTTCGATAGGAGAAAATTGTAAAGAAATTAGCCTGCAAACTCCCACCACACCCGCTCCAGCTGTAGAAGGTCAGTGTCACCGTATATTATCAAATCACTGTCGAGCACTTACGTATATTTTTCATAATAATGTGTTCCAACGACGATATAATGAGAGCTATTAATGAAATGAAAATATCCCTCGAAACTAATAACTCTCTCATAGGTGATTATTAAAAGAATGTGATCGGTTAAAGAATACCTGCCAAAATCTAGAGTTAAAGAATTCTAAATTCGAAAAAGAAATTAATTTTTTAAAGCGGCAGATAAAAAAGAATAATTTTTTGATCCATAACATCCCTTTCAGTGAAAAAGAAAATACACTCGATAAAGTTATAGACAGCTTCACGGAGTGTGATATAACGATCCCAGATTGTGCAGTTAACACCTGTTATAGACTTCGGAAAGGCCCAATATTGTTGCCACTCAACAATAATATTGTGAAACAAAAGATTTTTAAGTGTGGAGATATTTTAAAAAATAAAAACATATTTTTAAGTCACGATAAGACCCCCGAAGAAAGAGAAGAAGGGAGAAAAGTTCGCGCATGCTTAATCAAATTAAAAACTATTGATAGCAATGCGTCTTATAGGAAACATTTTTTCAAAATAAGAGGGTCATACTAAATGAAAGAAGTAGATGACATAATCAATGAATATGAAGCTGATATCCCCATATCGTTATCACAGGCGGGCACACTGCAAACATCCGAAGAAGAACAAACAAAAAAGAAAAGAAAAGCTGAAAATAGTCTAGATAAGTTTAAATTTCGACCACGAAGCTCATCAGTCTCAGCAACGGGTAAGTCGTCCTGACGGACCGAACCCATCTCCTCCGGTCTGATACCCGTTCACGATTCACTGAAAGGACTCGGTAAAACCATCTACCGCAATAATGTACAACAACATGGACATCATATTTTGTTTTGCAATATAAATGGTTTAAAAAATATATTTAAATTTACACTAAAAGAATGTGATACTATAGTAAAAAAAATTTATACTATTTTATATGATGGGAGTACACAAAGTGCATTCACAAAATTGTTCATCATAGCCATGTTCTGTTAAGTGTTTGTTTTTAGTTTATGTTAAAAGTAATATTTTGTTTGTATATATAAATATTTTTATTTTTTATTGTCATATCATAGTAACAGGTTCATTTAACTATTATTATGCAGTAATCGTTTTATGTTTTTAATTTTTATTGTTTTTCATACTTTTTAAAACCCATAAACGTAAAATTGTAAAGTTTATTTATATTTAAATGATATTTATGTAACTTGTAAAACTATATTATTCTACAATTGCCAAGCTAGGCTCTATTTGTATGGGGAACCGCCCAAAAAACAAATAAAATCTATCTATCTATTTACGACATCTTGCCATATTTTTAACAATTTCATTTCACAACTCCGCTCTCATAAAACATCCGGGGCTTAGAAGCGAAAAACTGATCGCAATACGTTTCCACATCTCTCTCATCAGCGAAAGATTTCCCGTTGAGAGATTTTTGGATGGACCGGAATAAGTGGTAGTCGGATTTTACAAGACCTGGTGAATACGGTGGGGTTGTGTGATTATTGCGAAGTGTGGTCTGGTTTAGCCGTGGTGGAATACAAGATGTTTACGATTATCTAGTTCTGGTCGTTTCTGTTGCAATGCTTGGTAAATTTTCGCTGCCTGCAGTAGATATTCGATTCAATTCCTTTTTCTTATGGAAGCAACCAATAAAACAGCACGCTGCGATAATTCCACAATATGGAAAACAAAATATTTTCCGGCCTTCAGGTTGACATTAGGCGGCCGTCAGCGGTTATCCACGATCTTCTGCGCTCTACATTGTCTTAGATGATCCACTTTTCATCACCAATCACTATTTGATTGGATAATGGATCCGCCCTGTGTCGATTCAGAAGAGTGTTACAGATTGCCTCAAGTCAGTTTCTGTGACCCTTAAACTGTGAGTGCAACACGTAATCAAGCTGTTTTAAATGTCTTTGAACTCTTCCAAAACATATTTTTGTGCCTAAGTGACCGGTCTTGTCGATTAGAGCCTTGATATCATTCGAATAAACATTTGCAAACCATTTTTGAGCAGTACGTTCGGTTGGGGGATCGTCCAGGAATACCTCGCATATCTTTTGGCGGACCTCCAAAGCTCGCTTGTCGTTTTTGAAATAATAATGCCGAACATACAGTTAATTATTTCACATATTCACTACGATGTAGCACAAACAAAACTAATGGCAATGAAACCAAACACAACAGTTACGAAGAGCAGACTTTCACCTTTCGGTGAAAAGTATGATCATTGTTACATGAGGACTGGAGATATTTGAAAACAATTCGCAATACTGTTAAAACCGAACTAACTTATCCATCAACCCAATATATATAACAGTTAAATCAATTTCAACGTTTCATATTAAATATATAGTTAGTATATTTTTAAATAGACCGTCTAACTTCTTGAACTGATATGAATAGAAATATATAGCAAAGACAAATTTTTAATACAATAAATACGCAAAAATGCTCTTTCTGGAACCCCCACCCGCCTTAGAAAAGCGTTAAAAAGCTTGGAACATAGCAACGTTTCGGAATAAAAATTGAAATAATAATAAATTTTAGTTTATTTATAATAAAATCAATAATCACTAAGCTCATCTATTTATCATTCATTCAGAATAAAGTTCATCCTACTTATAAAGGCTACAATAAAGTGAAAACTGCTTTAATTAAAGCTGGCCCCTGGCTTAGGTGCTAACAGTGAATCCGTAATAGCTGCCAGGGCAAGAAACGGCCGAGTGATATTAGGAGTAATTACCCAGAGGATGGGAGCGGCACTCAGTGACAGAGGATAATGAGAGGATTAGGGAAGGGGGAGGATTTCATCGCTAATTAAAGGCTGTGAGAGGTGTCCGCAAATGGGAAGCAGCCTAGTTGGGCCAACTTGTCTCGGGCTCATTGTCAACTGATATAAGTGATTACGTTTCAACTGAGCACCATACGCGGCGAGAAACCTCTAGTCAACTTTTGGTTAAACTATAACTGACTTAGAGCAACTCCGACACACCTCCTAGCGATAGCAACTCCTCCTCCACACACACAACCTGCAAAGAGAATGAGAACTTGATATATTTTAACCAAATGTACTTAACAAGTACAGTTACACGCCTGTTAAGAGTTAACTACTCTGGTCGAGCGGGCTAACGCGTATGCACAGCACAGCGCGATGTCCGTCAACTTATAACCGAAGTTATAGATAATAAAATAATTACGAGTTTGCGTCACGGTGTCGGGAGGGAGGAAGCTTTAACTCTGGCATTAATCCCTCACCCTCAACTCCTGATCCGGGAAAACCTGGTATATCGGCAAGTGGAGAACAAAAAAAAAACTATTTCAAACCATGGACGAATGGACTAAATCATGATAAATCAAATCATATATCACTTACTCTTCGAAAAATACCTGCCCTCAAGTTTATATTGACTAAAACTAAATTCCTCAGATGGACACTGTATCTTTGACTTACCTTCGAGAGGAGGATGACATGGGACAAACGAAACGAAAGACCCTTAACAAATAACTCGAATAACATTACCCATTTATTTTTTCCAAATCTTCAAAACCGAAACTGATACAGAAACTGAATATACATGTATACTCAAGACATACTCATCAGAGATACACAGTATCTCTGTTATGCACAAAGAAATTACTGAAGAAACAAGCAAAACAGATTATCTCTGATAAGCGATTACGTCGTGATTTAATTAAAAACTACCAATTTAATTATAGCATAACTGTTTTAATTAAATTTAAAGAATTATTAATTAATTAACGAACAGTTAAATGGGTTTTCAATCCAAGACTTAAAATTCTAAATTTGAATTGTAAAATATACAATATAACGTAATGTCAATTGTACTCACTATGTAGATTAGAAGAAGTAGAAAGTAGCTTTTCAATTTTAGCTCAGTACAGAAACATTTCGAGTTGTTATTTAACGTAAAATTGATAGTAATGGCACTTCTTGATGAGATATTGCATGATATTATAGATATAATTTATTACTATATTACTATAAAGGTATAGAAAAAGAATTTAATAGAATTTTATATGAATTATATTACAACATGAGGTAATGTTATAGAGGAGTTATGTTAGTAACTTAGAACCAGGAGTCTCCAAACTACGGCCCGTGAAGGTTTCATTGATTACATGACAATTTTTTTTTAAATTATTTAAAAATATGAACTTGTTTTCCTACGTTCGCAACTTCAGTGTCAT